CTCAGCTCTGTAACCTCTGTCTCAACTGTGGGAGAATCTCTGAACTGTGGCCACTGAGGACCAAAGGGGCATAGTGACACACCCATGTTTTCCAGATGAGGTGGTCTGTTGTGTGGGTTTTGCTGACTAGAAACCAAGGGTTCCAGTAACAAGAAAATAAATGTGTTGTCACCACCCCACTTGGCAGAGCAAAGGCGAAGCTACAAAGTTGGGCACAACTCCGTAAGGACCGACCAAAATGCAAGCTTTCTTTTGTAAACTGCTTGTCCTTGGAGCTGGTAACTGAGGCCCAGAGGTCTGAGGTTCAGACACCATCCTAGGTGTGTTCTATGAGGGTCAGCTGGCAGGCTGCAAACCTAGAAAACCACCCTCTGCCTGAGCTGCCACTGGCGCATGAAGAGACTTTTGCAGCATTTTCAGGAGCAGGTAACAGGTGTTATAAATGTGCTGTGTCCTCAGCCTGCTGGATTTGGCTCCTCAGAAGAATCCATCAAGAATGGCCTTTACCCTTACGTCTGTGAGTACATCTAGATATGCACTTGACTATTTTAAATTTACATTTCTTTCCTTCTTTCTTTTTTATGTGTATGAGTGTATGTATGTAAGTGCACCTGTGTCGTACAATGCCTGCAGAGGTCAGAAGACGGTATTGGATCCCCTAGAACTGGAGTTAGAACAGTTGTTGGCTGCCATGTGGGTGCAGGGATCTGAACCCAGGTCCTCTGCAAGAGCAGCCAGTGCTCTTAACCACTGAGCCATCTCTCCAGCTCATTCTCTCTCTCTCTCTCTCTCTCTCTGTATGTTTGTTTGGGTACATGCAGAGGTCAGAGGACAACTTTTCAAAATCAGTTCTCTCCTTTCACCATGTAAGTTCCAGGGATCAAACTCAGATCATGAGGCTTGGTGGCAAGCACCTTTACCCACTGAGCCATCTCACCAGCCCTTACTTGCCTGATTTTTTTTTTTTTAACCATTGTTCTTTTAAGAAAGTGATCATGGGTCAGCAAATGGTAATGAGGCAAAGGACCTGATTCAGCTTATGTAAGAAAATATGTTAAGGTCCTAAATCACTTTGCTAATACTCAAACTTCTTTGTTAATTGATTCTAATTTTCTCCCAACCTGAGTTATCTGCCATCAGACAGAAATTGCCACGGATGTCAATGCTACCAATTCCTGTAGGTCCTGGTGAGGGACACTTGCTTTCCTCTATGTGTTCAAAGAGTCAGTCTTTGACAGTCCTACTGATACCAATACTTGCTACATCATTCAACAACTTTAGTCTGAATGGAGAAACGCCCTTTATAGTTAAGCTACTATAAAAATACGCACTTTACATTCAGGAAAATCCAAGTATTTGAAGAGTTTTCTTTTTACTTGTGCTTCAGTTTCCAAGAAATACAGGAAAATGAGGAGAAAATAAACATTCTTCCAAATCAAACCTAGGAGAGATTAAAGTTTGCTCCCAGTGAAATAGCTACATTCAGTAGATTTTAATTACTTTTGTCCCCATGGGCTCCCCCCTCCCTTAATTTCTTGTTTTGCCCTTAGGTTACAATGATTTATTTGCAAGTTCAGTCCCACACTGCACATGAAACTAAACATTTGTCAGGCAGGCTTGACATGAGTGGGACCTCTCTGCCTTTTGACTGAGCAGGCGTGGCGTTCTTCTGGTCAGCCTGTGTCTCAGAGTTGGAATGGAAATGTGGATGGAGGGCTGTCCCCACCTTGGCTCTACTGGACTTAGCTGTTCCTCTTCCTACAGCTGGAATTCATTTTCTTCTTGCCACGATCTCCTCAGCACTTTGTAAGGCAGACCTCGCCTCCCATTTTCCCTTCCCAGGTTGTTTGGAAATCATATTTTCTTGATTCTGGGGTGCACGTGACTGTATTGTAACAGAGCAGAAGTAACTTATCAGATCTCTTTTGTAAGAATCCTGAGATCTCAGGCTGGAGAGATGGCTCAGCAGTTAAGAGCATTGGCTGCCCTTGCAGAGGACCTGGGTTTAGATCCCAGCACCCACAAGACAGAGCACAACTGCCCCTAACTCCAGGTCCAGGGGATCTGACACCCTCTTCTGGCCTCTGTGGGTGCTGCCCACACGTGGTGCGCTTATGTTCATTCAGGGAAAACATTCATACACATAAAAGTTAAAAAGAAAAAAAAGAATCTTAAGGTGTGAGGATTGCTTCGCTCTGCCCACCATTTTTCTCTGTGTGGCTTCCTCCGACAGCTTTTTTGGGTCTGAAATCCTAAGAATAAAGCTTAACACTCACACAATGGAAGCCACATCTAATGGAAAGCCTCCTTAATGTTGGCGTAGATGGAAATGGTTGTGATCCCTCCTGTAAAGCATTCCCAGGGCTCAGTCTCTATGAAATGGATTGCTTATGGGGAGATAATGTCTGTTCTATTCCTTTTTAAGTCTGTGAAAAATGTCATCCTGGTTAATAGGGTGATTAAAACTCTTCATGCTCTGGGAGATCAATGTGATTATGTTTGTTATACTCTACCCAAGACAAAGACAGCAAAGCAAGCAAACTTGAAATTTTGTAACTTCTCTTCCATATCCAGGACATTCAGACCTCAGCAATGCAGATGGTGCTTCACATAAAGAGTAACATTATCTGTTAGTCATTCTTCCTTTTCATGAACCAATTTAACAATATGCCTCTGGTGGGACTGGAGAGATGGCTCAGTGGTTAAGAACACTGGTTGTTCTTGCAGAAGACCCGGGTTCGAATGCCAGCACCCACAGGGCAGCTAACAATTGTCCATAATTCCAGTCTCAGAGGATCTGACAGCCTCTTCTGACCTCCGTGGGCATTGCACGACACAGGTGCACTTACCTACATGCAGGCAATACAATCATTCACACAAAATAAAAATAATAAATAAAATATTAAAAAATGAAACAATCGCAGCACTCGGGAGGCAGAGGCAGGCGGATGGATCTCTGTGAGTGCAAGGCAGCCTGATCTACATAGTGAATTCCAGCATCATTCACACAAAATAAAAATAATAAATAAAATATTTAAAAAATGAAACAATCGCAGCACTCAGGAGGCAGAGGCAGGTGGATGGATCTCTGTGAGTGCAAGGCAGCCTGATCTACATAGTGAATTCCAGAACAGCTAGGGCTACAGAGAGACCCTGTCTCAAAAAGACCAAAAAAAAAAAACCAAAAAAAAAACCAAAACTAAATCTTCTGATATCTGCGTTCTGACTGCAGAAAAACACTTTAGAGACAATGCTTGCTTTTGTTGTTAATTCTTACCTGTTACTTCATCTTTGCTTTTAAAATGCAATTCGAATTATGCCTGCTTCCTTTTGCTGTCAACCAGGTAACTCAGTCATTTCTGTGAGGGTCCCCTTGCTACCTACCCATCAAAGACAACAGATGTAAGGTGTATGGACAGGGTTTTGTTAGCAGTAGGTATGCCATGCATTCCTCCAGGCCTGGGGGAACAGGGCACACCCAGGGGGTCCCTGGCTCCTTCCTAGGGCCTGGCTGCCATCAGCTCGGCCTGCAGCATGTGCTGCCAGAGTCAGGCAGCAGCCCTACCCTCAAGGAGCTTACGAGGCAGGACTCTATTAAAGACAGTCATAGTTAAGGGTTTCTCTTTTTATCACTTCAGCAAACACAGGAATTCTCATTTTCTCCTACCCAGTGGGGGTCTCTCAAAAATCAGTAAGCAGCCTTCATCAGAGAGAAAAGCTGGAGGACCTGATGGCGGTGTGTGCACACCCACTGTGGCTCCTTCAGTGCAGTCAAAGGCCAGGAGCCTTTTCTCCTCACAGAACTGATGGGAATGAAAGGTGGGCAAGGAGTGTTTTCACTACTCCACATACGCTGATATGTCACAATCCTTTCTTTCTGGGTTCGGATTTTTCAGGTTACATGTGAATCCCAGACACGGATTACACCTGTTTAATTAACAATACAGCAATCTGAACAGGGCAATATGGTCTAGGGAAAAATGTTACATTATGCACTTGACATTTCAGTTAAAGATTTTCCTTAGAACTAAAAGGTTTCACAATAACATGGAGACTGAATATACTTTATTAAACCGATTGCTGACTAATTAGGCCCAAATAATTCTAAGGAAACTGCACAGTTCATGTCCAACCTGAGGGTACTTCTCTAGACAAACCGACATGCCAACGTAGTTCCCTTCTTTAAAAAGTTCAATTTTAAGTGGAAATAATTATATGCAGACACTATTGTACATCAGCTTCCTGTAAGAGATCATGGACATGAGAGGTTGGGTTTGTATGTAAGAATTAGCTTCATTACAGAGTGGCACCAAATACTTAACACTGAGACCCAGGGCTTGGGTGATGTCTTGATTAAAAATGTTTAAAATAGGCGACAATTACACTGTTTTTACTTTGGTCACTGAAATAAAACTAAACTATCAGTGTTCAGGGACCAGAACCAATTTCTCAAAAAAGTACACTTTTCAGTCCTGATACCACCATTGTTACTATTTCAGCACAATTATCTCTGGGTTATAATTTGTACTGGCTTTGTGTCCATGTGCAAGAATTTACAAGTCCTTAAAGGGACGCACATGCATACTAGCTTTGAATCAGATAAACCACATCCACTTCCTGTACTGGAAATACCCACAAATCTGCCACTCTGGAGACTGGCCCACAGAATCACATCTTCCAAATTCTTAGTCATATGCAGATAAGAAAAGCTCTTAAAACTCATTTAATGAGATACACTGAGGTTCATACTATTGCTGTTAGGAATTTGCTTATATTTTCTTAAGATTTATTTTAAATTTTTAATTGTGTGTATTTAAATTTTTAATTGTGTATGTGAGGGTGTTGGATCCTCTGGAGCTGGAGTTACAGGCAATTGTGAGCTGCCCAGTGTGGGTGCTGGTAATGGACCTCAGGTCCTCTGCACGAGCAGCACACTCAGTGGCTGCTCTGCCGTCTCTCCAGCCCTTATAAAGATTTTCCATCATACTTTCATTATCAAATTTTTTTAAGTATGAAATACAGTTTATTGTTACAAACAGAAGTACTTCCTTTGGGATCCTTCCAGAAGGGGAACTTAGCCCAATAATTACTGTTTTTACATAGTTGTCTTAACTTTGGGGAAACATCCCCTCCCTGCACCCTAGACAGAGACACACAGAAAGATGGCTTCGGATGCGGTCCGTGTTCATCAACTGTCTGCATGCATCTCTTGGAGGAGCCGCCTCAGTCCTCTCTCTGATGTGGTGTCTCCACACCACCCTTCCTGCAGCATTCTGGCACTCATCCAAGCCCATCTCATTTCGATTTTAATGCCTCCTCCCACTCCACAGCTGATTCAGAGTTCTTGGGAATTGTTGGAAATATAGATTGCATTTTACTTCGAAAGTCTTTCATCTAGAAGGAAAAAGAAAAGGCATCAAATGTCAAAAGAAGGGAGAAACAGCAGGGGCCATTAGAGGCAGCATCTTTGCTGCACAGAGAACATTCCCCAGGCACAGACTAGGACTGGGGTGGGGAGGGTTCTCTACAGTTGTCAAATCACTGTAACCACTATTTGCATTGGTGATGGTGGTGAATATCTCCAGGACTCACAAAAAGAGTGCTGTGTCAAAAACACCAAGCACACCCTCCACAAGGAACTCTGCATAGGCTTGTTTTGGAAACCAGACACCACTCAGGTCAGGGTTTGAGTATGCAGAGCTCTTTGCCTTTCCAGCTGAACAGCTTTCACAATAAATGGGGTGTTGGATTGTCAAGCATAAGCACGAGCAGAGCTGCTTCCCATGGTCCCATCTCAGTGATTTGGAATATGGTCAGCCATCAGACAGGAAGAGGTTGGGAGGCACAGCCGTGGCCAGGCCGGAGGGTGGCTGCTCCATCCCACCACCTCTTGGCCTAATTTTCTTCTGTCTGCTTTATTCTCAAATATTGTGTAATTTACTTGTTCCCAGGGGCATAAGTAACTGAACCATTAGAAGGAATCACACCTGAAAGAAGCCAGCCAGAGAACACTGCTGAGCCCCGTTCTTTTCAGTGATAGGCTGTGGAAATGGACCCAGAGCACGCATTTATGTAATAAACAGGGTCTTCAGTTACTTCAGACAATGGGGCTCCACTGGCTTCTCAAGCTTGTATTATTTATGTTATATGGATAGTGTTTATCTCTAATATGTATTAGGGAAAGTCATACACAAGTCAATGGATTATTCCCCAGCTTAATGATGCCCTTGAAAAAAGATATAAGGATCATAGTTAAGCAAATCTGGACATAAATATACCACGTTCCATGAGAATAAGTCACAGCCATTGCCACAGAATGCTCCTTCTGCCCTCTGTCCCCAAAGTTTGGTGAATACAAAGCATTCTGGGACTAGACTGTCCTCCCAGCAGGTCATGTCCCTCCAAAGTACAACTGCCTGACTGCTATCCAGGACTCTCCCTGCAGCCACTCTGGTTCTTTGAATTAGAAAGACAAAGTGCCTTGAAAACTTTTGCTCATGTGCCAGCTTTCACTGAAAATGACTTGTAAAGCATGTGATACACAACTCTCCTCATTTATTTCAGATCACAAATGTTAACCAATAACCAATGTCCTCTACTTCTGGACTTGGGGATTATACTTCTCCACTCCTTGAAGTTAGGAAGCCATGCGACTAGTGAGCGTGAATAAGGAAATGTGTCACACCTAGACTGAGCATCTAACTACAAGAGTCCAACTCTTTAGGCCTCCTTCCATTTCTCATTGCAATTCTTGGAACTTGTGTGGTCACAGTGGTGCCTCAAGGTCAAAATAGACTGAAGGACTGAGCCAGCACATGAGGGGAGCTTCCCAAGAGGGCTGCCTATATCGTCAGTGGATTCTGCACAAGTCAAAGCGAAACCTTTGTCAAGGCACAGATTTAAAGAACATGGTTTTGTATGTGTACGTGCACATGTGCAAGTGTGTGCATAGCATGTGAACCTCAGGTACTGTTCCATGAGAGCTAGCCACGTTGTTTTTTGAGGCAGGGTCTCTCACTGGGACCTGGGGCTTGCTGATTTATATAGGGAGCTGACCAGAGAGCTCCTGGGATGTCTGTCTCTGCCGTTCCAGTGCTGGGGGTTGTGGGGATTGAACTCAGTCCTCATGCTTACATGGCAAGCACTTTACTGAGGTATCTCCCCAGCTCAAGACTTTTTTTTTATTTTAGCTCTTGGTCTGTACTGGCTAAACCAGGAGGTGAAGAGAACCACAGACATACTCTGCTGTCCTCCACTAGTGCATCCATTTGCCTGAAATATGGTTCAATAAAAGCTCAAGGGCTAGATAAGAAGAAACAGAACTCTTCCACTGAGCTCTCAGAGCCCATTAGAACCTCTCAACAACTGAACATGTCCCACTTTCAAGGTGCTCAGCCCATCATTAGTTCCTTTTTTATGACAATGCTTCCTGGGGAAATCAGAACATTTCTAAATATTCTCAATGAGATAAGTACAGGAGATCTGATCAGCACAAAAGGGTCAATGTTTTAATGGGAGGATTGCTGTCTATTTGTCTATTGTGTTTATTTGGTAATATGGACTAATCAGTACTGGCTTGGTTTAGAGAGTAGGTACTGATAGCCTGCTGATACCACAAGGATAAAAAGATGAAGTGTCTGAGCACACAGTATTATTTAACTATTCAGTGGTACTAGGAAGGATAATATGGAAATTTTAAATCTCAGCTTCCCATTTTGAAAATGATTAATATTACCATTTAACTAAAGGGCAGGGAAGCATTTTCATTTTCTCCTGAGCGTTCTGTATCACATCCATAAAGTCTAAAATCTGTAGTCAAGGCAACTGATTTAGAAATTAAAAGTGAACACATAGCATAGTATGTTTTCTGAGAAATACACAGTCCTTTAAGCCTTCATTAAAATCGCCAGGTTTCTGACTGGAGTCATCTGGTCCCTCCAATATTAAAAGAGAGAACCTGAAGCCTAGGCCAACCAGCTTTTCATACACAATCAGAGAACAACCAAGGTACATCAATCATACAAACAGAATCAGACTTCAACTCAACAAAGGAAGGTTTGAGTTTCATACCAGACTCACAAGCAACAAAAGAAATCCACATGCCAAAACCACCATGAAAAAATAATATGAAAAACTAAAATAATATGTTCACACCAAATACCACCAGTCCTATGGAAGAGTTCTACAATGAGGACCCCCTAGAGATAACCCAGGACACAGAATTTAAAAGAACACACAAACAGCTCAAAGAACTAAAAGAAAATAGGGATAAACTTTGAGCTGAATTCACAAAAGAGACAGAAATATTAAAGAAAACTCAGGCTGAAATGAAGAAGTGAAAAACCCAATAAGCCAATTAGAAGCAACAGGAGAAAGCCTCAGCAATAGCATGAATGAAATGGAAAACAGAGTATCAAGACTGGATGACAAAGTTAAAGAATTGGACTTATAAAAAATTAGAAAAAAACATGAATGTAATATACAGGAAATGTGGGACATCATTAAAAGACCAATTTTATGCATCATAGGCATAGAGGAAGAAGAATCTCAAGTAAATGATATTGAGCAGATCTTCAACAGGATTACAGAAGAAAATTTCCCCAAAGTAAGGAAGACATACCCATACAAGTACATAGAACACCAGATAGGCAGGACCAGAAAAGAAACTCCCCATGGCACATCATAGTAAAAGCAGTAAATGTACAGAACAAAGAATACTGAAAGCTACAAGAGAAAAACAACAAGTCACAGAGAAAGGAAAACCCATCAGAATTATAGCTGACTTTTCAATGCAAACCTTGAAAGCCAGAAGAGCCTGGACCAAAGTGTTCCCAGTTCTAAATGACCACAGATGCCAACCCAGAATGCTTTAACCAGCACTATTATAGTTGAAGGAAGGGGAAATAAAAATCTTCCATGACATGAATAGGCTGAAAGAATTCATGTCCACCAAACCAGCCCTTCAGAGTATTTAAAGCAATACAAAGGACTGAGGAATGGAACGACTATGTTCAAGGGGCAACAGAAAGAAACCGGATGAAGGTATAATTGTGGAAGCACAAAATTAGACCAAGAATGCAAACAGAAATGAAATGGCAACCAATACACATCTTTCAATAATAACTTTTAATATCAATGGCCTCAACTTGTCCTCAACCAAAAGATGCAAGCTAGTTGAATGGATTAAGAAACAAAATCCATCTTTTTGTTGTCTACAAGAAACCCATCTCACCTTCAAGGACAGGCACTACCTTAAGGTGAAAGGATGGAAAAATATATTCCAAGCAAATGACACTAAAAAACAAGCAGAGGTTGAAATTCTAGTATCTGATAAAATAGACCTCAAACTAAAACTAATCAGAAAAGATAAGGATCATTCTGATCAAAAGAACAATTGACCAAGAAGATAATTACAATCACGAACATATATGCACCAAACTCTGGTGCACCCAATTTTATAAAAACAGTATTATAAGACTTTAAGACACAGATTAACCCCAACTCAGTAATAGTAGGGGATTTCAATACCCCACTATCTCCAATAGACAGGTCAACTGAACAAAGAATAGAAAGACATCTGAATTAAATGACTCCACAACTAAATGGACCTAACAGACCTCTACTAAATATTCCACCCAAGCACCAAAGAACAACCTTTCTATTCAGCAGCCCATGAAAGTTTCTCTAAAATTGACCACATACTAGGACACAAAAACAAACCTCAACAAACAAGAAAAAAACTGAAATAATTCCATGCATTCTATCAGACCACAATGCAATACAACTTAAAATCAACACAAAAGAGAAGCTCTAGTAACTACATGAACTCATGGAGATTAAACAACATATTCCTGAATGATGAATGGGTCAAAGAAGAAATTAAGAAATAAAAGTATTCCTGGAACTCAGTGAAAAAGGTAATACAACACAACAAAACCTCTGGGACAATTTAAAAGCCGTCCTAAGAGGGAAGTTTATAGCTCTAAGTGCCTATATTAAAAAAATCAGAAAGAGCAGAAATAAGTGACTTGACATTGCAACTCAAGACTCTGGAAAGGCAAGAACAAATTAAACCCAAACTGAGAAGACAAGAAGAAGAAGAAGAAAAAAAAATCAGAGCAGAAATTAATGAAATAGACACAAAGAAAACAAACAACACAACAACAACAAATCACTGAATCTAAGAGCTGGTTCTTTGAAAAGATAAACAAGATAGACAGACCCTTAGCCCAATTAACCAAAAGAAAAGAAAGAATAAATCCAAATCAATAAAATCAGGGATGAAAAGGGAAACATCACAACAGACACACACACACACACACACACACACACACACAAAATCTGGAACATTATGAGAATAAGTGAAAAACCTATATTCTATTAAGTTTGAAATC